AAATCCCGCTCTAGTATCACTTAAAAGTTTGTAAATGTTGTTAAACCTTATGGAACTAGCCCGAGGCTCAACAAGAGAGGGGAGGTGAATTGGTGCTTTAGAAATTTTCTTGACTTCAAAGTAACAATAATAATATTTTTCAAAAATATTTTTTGTAATTGAAAGTACCAAAATCTAAATGATTGCCTAAGTGAGAGATTTTTTTTAAAAAAAATTAAAAGTTACTTTGATGAAATTTTGACCTAACTGATAAAACAATAATTAATTTTTTCCCAAGCATTTATAAATGGAAATGAAATGCAAAAAATGTAAATGTGCAAAATGGAAAAAAACATATCAGAGATTTTTATAGTGTTTCGGTCAACCTTGACCTATGTTTACTCCTCGAAGTCCTCCGCTCTAGGAATTTTCACTAAACCAAAGTTGCTCTCATTTTACTTCCAAATAAAGGCAGAGAAGCCTTTACAAACTCACTTTCACCAAACCATTGATGCAGTAGAGTGTCATATGCTATGTCACCCTTCAGGTGATAGCATCGAACCTTGACTCTTTCAGTCACGCATTGCTCCCTTGATTCTCAAGAGAAACATCAAAACATAGCTTTTGTAATAGGCTTCAAGAAACCATAAAAATTCAATTTAGCTGTTATTATTCGTATAGTACAATTCCAGTTCATACAGCACGATCAGTTCAAAATTAATCCCGTCAAGTACGATGTGAACAATCATTCAAAATGAATTGCTCAAATTTTATGAACACATCATATAGTACGATTAAAAGATCATCTAATACGATATGTTCAATTTCCTTTATTCGTACGCGACAATTCCTAGGATGACGGAAATTCATCTCTACCAATCATCCAGTACTGCTCATTTCGTACACTATGGTTAGTTCATTTCAAGTAGGTTGTCCAATATGATAAAAATATCGTATAGTGCAATTAGTTTAAAAATCATGGTTTTATTTGGAATGATATCTAGGACAGTTAGATTTCGTCTATGTTAATCACATGGTACGATCAATATCATACATTACAATCTGATATCATTAATTTAACCATAATTTGATTAACTAATTATGGGTGTTAATTTTAACAAGATTTCAAATATTCATATAGTACGATTGATATCGTACAGTACGATCAGTTCAATAATCAAATTTCAAAATCTTACTTAAATTAATATGGCGGCTAGGATTTTTAAATCATAATAAATCGTACAGTACGCTCATGATCGTACAATACGATTAGTTCACAAAAATTAATTTTAACAATTAGCCATTAAGCATATTTCCAAATAATATAGCATATAGTACGATTAATTTAAAAAAATAGTACCTTAAAAAATTTATCTCCCCCTCTTATGTGATCGGACTCAAGAAGTAAAAAAATAAGGAAAATAAAATTACATACTCTTTCACATCCTATTCGACCCAATCTTGAATCTTCAATAGTCTTGAGCTTTGTATATCTTACTTGAAATGTTAGTGCTCACAAATAAAAGAAATTTAAACTATTTATTGAGAAAAGCAATAGTTTAATCAATAAAGTTTGTCATCATTAAAATCACAGACTAGGTATTTAGGATTGCAACATAGTTATATGCCAACTTTAATTAATCTCATTCAATGAAATATTTTAATTATTTTATATTTGAACTAATCGTACACACGATCTAGATCGTACAATATGCTTAATAGAAAAATTAAAACATTTAATTTTAACCACATTGTGTGTGTGTGTATGGTTGCTAAGCCACCATTCACCCAATACATAAATAGACTCAAGAAAAATAAAAAATATAGACTTTGTAATATACAGACTAACTTTTACCTTGATGATATACTTTCTTGAGTCGGTTCTTCAATCTTTGCTTGGTGTATTAGTAGCACATAAAAACAAATATCCAAAATGAATAAGTAAATAAAACATTCAATAATATTTTTAATTATCAAAACATACTATCGACTCCTGAATTGCAATACTAGTCGCTCACTTAACATATGACTATACTTAGTTTTAAAATTTGGTTTAATATTTATTTATATAATATAGATTATAAATATATATGTTTAAAAAAATTGTCCAATATCATACTATTTTCAGTATTTAAATATGCATTGATCACCGATTAAATTAAAGGGAGATTTACATACATACTACCATATAATACTCTATTTACATATTTAACACCTAAAACTTTAATATTACATACATATCATTCTTAGTTCATTTTCATATCAAATATGAGTGGTAAAAATGAAATATATGAGTGATTGGAAGAAAATATGAGTGACATATTTGATATTAAAATAATATAGAGTGGTATGTATGTAATATTAAAATTTTAGGTGTTGGATATATAAATAGGATGGTATAAAGTGGTATGTATGTAAATTTCCCTTAAAAGGTAATTTAAAGAATTTTAATAATATTAAGCATTATTTATAATTTTTTCTTACCCAATAAAAATTATATCGTAGTATATTGATGAACCAAGCTAGGTCAATCGGTCTGATCCACCATGTGGACAACATCCCCGATTGGCATGTTTTCGTTTGGGAGAACCTAAGCGGCTTTCAAGTAAAAAACCCTGCGAGGGTTCCGTTTCAGGCAGATTCTTGAGTCGTTCTTCTTCAGAACGGTAGGCGCTGCTCCCTTTAATTCAAATATGCAGTCTTTCCTTAGTTGTTGGTTGCCTTTTTTTTTTCTTTTTCTTCATGGATAGTTAACTGATCTTCCTTGTGTTCAGATTTCAGAACAAGTTGTTTACAGTCTTCTCCTGGATCTTCAATATACCGCGTGGAGTCCGCTTTTAAGTTGATAAAAAGTCAAATTATTTTTTTTCCCTTCAATATTGGGTTTGAAGGGAACATATGAGCTTTTCTTATGGCACTTCTGTTGTCTAACATCAAGAGAAAGGTTTCAGCACTTTCATTCAGTGCAACGGTCGGTGCCTTCACTTATGTGAGTTCAAAACCGTTAGAAGAGTCAATACCTGATGCCCGCTTCCTAAAACATAGCACTCCTGAACCACGGCTTGTAGATCATACCCCCTTCCTACTCTTCCCTCAAGTTCGCTTATCAACCTTCCAAATGGTATTCGTGTTGTTACCCAACAGCCCCTGCGTCTTCCTTGCACATGGCCTCCATTGGTTGTCTGGTATGATGCAGGGAGCCGGTTTGAGACTCCTGGACCAATGGAACAGCTCCACTTCCTTGAGCACATGATCTTTAAGGGCACCAGGCGCAGGACTTCTCAGTCACTAGAGGAAGAGATTGAGAACTGGGTGCTCGGCTTAATGCCTATACTTCACGCGAACAGACAACCTTCTTTGCTGATGTTCAGTCCAAGGACATTGCAGTTGCAGTTGATGTACTTGCTGATATCTTGCAAAATTCGAGGTTCCCCGAGCATGCTATTAAGAGGGAACGTGGTGTCATTCTCCGGGAGATGGAGGAGGTAGAATTTTTGTTTTGTGTTATTATAAAGATGTTTTGGCAATTAGTAGGATTTAGTAAATCTTGTAAATCAGAATTAATTAATCTGAGAGTATTAGAAACCTGAAATTTTTCTAGCATGAAAACCGTTAAATTTTGCTAAACCTTGATAAATTACTTGGCTTTTTATTTCAGAGAATTAAGATTTATGAGTGACGGTAAATCCGTTAAGTGCAGTGAATGATAGGATTTAACAAATAATAGGGCTAGATGGAATTTTTCATTACAATAGGATAAAGTCCGTAAAATTCTGTTTGATAGCATTTGTGCTATAGTGCCATAAATAGGATACGAAACCCTATTTTTCTTTTTAATTGAATATCATTCTTATCATCTGATCTAACTTTATTAAATTGTATCCATTTTGATGAATTTGTGCATTCTTGGTTAGATAGGTGCAAGGGCAGATGGAAGAAGTTATTTTCGAGTTATCTTCATGCAGCTGCATTTACAAGCATCCATTAGGAGATACCATATTAGGTCCTGAGGAGAATATTCAGGCAATTTCAAGAGTTGATCTACAGAAATATATTTTCAAGTCATTATGCAGGCCAAGAATGGTATATTAAAAAGTTAATTTCTGTCATCTTCTTTCCCCATCGTGTCTGGAAGTATATATTAAAAGCATAATTCTAATGTGATAATTAATCTACTTTCTAGGTTGTCTCTGCTGCTGGAGCTATTAAGCACGATGAGGTTGTTAATTTAGTTCACAGATTGTTCACAAAGTTTTCTAGGGATCCAACAAACAGGCTGATCAGCTTTAGGGCTAAGCCAGCCACTTTTACTGCTTGTGAGTTGCTTTGCATTCTTATAAAAGTTGTTATTTTGAGTTATTTACATTCCTACCACAAAATTTACGTATCTAACACCCCAAATCGTTATATTTATATGACTTTTATAGTGTATAAATCACATCAAAAGGTATATATGAAAAGGTGTTTCTCACTTTGGATATGCTAATGTTAGTGATGTTTTTTTGTCATTTTAAGATTAAGGTTTTATTATTTGTTTCAGTAAATATGAAGATTTTTGTGTTAGATATTTAAATACATAAGCTTGATTTGTTTTGTTGTTGTTGTATATGTAAATATAGTACCTCGGCATATATATGTAAATCTCAATTTTTTTTCTTACTCTTTTTTGTTGCATGTTGTTTGCAAATTGCCAACAATTATTGTTGACATAAGTTAGCTACTTTTAATGAATGTATATAGGTGCGAGTGGTTAATGATACTATGCCTAGC